GAACAGTTCTGTCTCAGCTGGTGTATAAAGAACGTGGTCATAATACATAACTCTTATAAACACATCCATCAAATAACATCAAATCGAAATTCATTCCATTATAGAATAAGAAATTTCGCGAGATAATTATAACAGAATGGATTTGTTTACTAAGCAAGCTTTATACTCCACAATAGTATCTATTTCGTGAGTGCAGTTAGGACTGGCACACCTTGTGCATGATCGGGATAATAATGCAAACACGCAGTGGTGAAGGTGTTCTGCTCATCAACGAAATAAATCGCATAACATATTCAACTGACCTCAACTGTTCGCGTAGATCACCACAGCAGACTCCCGAGACACACCGGAGGTTTACAACTTGTTATAAGCAATTGTATATATGGAAAAGGACGACAGAATACTTGCTTATTACTTTCCGTTTACTTAAACTTAACTATAGAAATGAAAAACATGCGCGTTTAACACACAACACGACTTCCGTTTACACCCACAAAACAAAAACCAAAATAAGCCGAGAGCGGCCTAAAAATCCTATTTGTGGGGGTCAAATTATCGGTTAAAAATCATGTTGGGTGGTTTGGGTGTTGTTTGATGTTGTAACCATGGTTTTCACAGGTCCCAAATCTTTGGAAACCTTTCTTGAAAAGAAGGTAATTCCTTTAAAAGAAATGCATTCAAAACGTAATTTATATATACTAGCGAAAAAAAGAAACTGTGCATGCCTAAAATGTGTTATAAATAAATAAATGTGTATGACGTAGAACAAGGTTTTCAGGGACAATTTATTTGTTATTTATTAACAGTTGCATTCCATTTTCCACGTTATCAGACGGTTCCAGAATGCTTGTGGGATGGCATTCCAGATATGTACCAACGCTGCAGCCAAATCAGCCAACCTCACAAGTTGTTTAGGTAATACCCTTAATCTGCGCTTCATTTCATCCCAGACGTGTTCAATGGGCGACAGATCGGGGATACAGCAGGCCAGGGCAACACGTCAACGTTCTGCTGGGCCAGAAAGTCCATAGCGACACGAGCTGTGTGTGGCCTGGCGTTGTCCTGCTGTAGCGTACTGTGACGTTGCTGCCCTTGCATGAATGGAACGACGTGGGTCCGGGGGATCGCGTCACGGTAACGTAGCGCGTTCAAATTCCCGTTAACAACCACTAGAGGCGTTCCACCGTTGGCTGTGATGCCGCCCCAAATCATAACGCTGCCTCCGCTGAATAAACGTCGTTGTACGACACACGCGTCACGGAAACGTTCTCAAACGCGACGATACAATCTGGAACGGCCGTCACTACTATCCAGGTGGACTCGCGACTCGTCCGTAAACAAAATGCCTGCCCATCCCGTCGAGAAAATCGCAGATGCCTTCTGCACCAGTCCAGACGTGCTACACGATGACGTGGCAGAAGAACTGGGCGGATTGCAGGACGTCGCGGACGGATAGCTCGTTCACGCAATCGGTTCCGTACAGTTCTCGGGCTTATTAGTAGCAACCCAGGAATGTCCGTGCAGTCAAACTTCCTGTTCCAAATGGACAAGCCGAATATGGTTGTCATGTTGACGTGACGTCACACGTGGACGTTCCCTTTGACGCACGAGGTCGATCACCGACGTGACCAAACTGTTGATGTCGTCTCCACAAATCCCGGATTGTGTTTCGATGGACATGAAAGCGTGTAGAGACAACGGCTTGGTCCCTACCAGCTTGAAGCATACCAATAATCGGGAGGCGGTCATTTTCATTGAGCCTTGGCATAGCATTAATCACAAATTAAAACGTTATAATGCTGTTTTTACTGTTCACTGTTCTCAACAGAGTGACCCAACAGTTGAAAAATAATCATTCATTGTCGAACTGAATGGCTGGACGAGAAAAACGTGAAAACTGATCAATGCCTATAGAGAACAAACTGCACGGGAAAAACACGGATAGTGTGTATGTGTCATACTCGGTCATGTCTGTGAATTTTCATGTATATACAGTTGGTTAATACATGTTCTATAACAATTCTCCGCATGCAGTGTATTTTTTCCGCTAGTATATATATATATCTGTGTGTAGGTGTGTTGTGCAGGATGAATCCACCATCCGGGTTTATCTAAGACATGCCCTTTACTTTTAAGATCAGACGATTTTACTGTACTATGCTTCCTAAGAATACTTTAATACTTTTAGATAAGGCCACTCAACTGTTTGAAACCTAATCTTTGGTATATTGCGGGCTGCATGTCCTAATATGTTGTCCAATTTTGATGTTATATTGTTTTTAAATAACTGACCTTAACCAAACCTCTTAACCCGGTCACTGACGCGGAATATGAAGGTCCGAACCAGCATCAAAAGCATCGCAAGTGGTAAGCATTCTTAGATACATAAGCAATGCAAGTTGAGTTGATGTAGAACATGTAGTTACTTAGTATCTAACCCAAACCAATCTTCTTAACCTGGTCACTGAAGCTGATAATATAGATCAGAAGCAGCATCCGAAGCTTCGTTGGTTATAAGCATTCTTAGATACATAAGCCATGCAAGTAACGTTGATGTAGGATAAGTAGGTACTTGGAAATTGACCTTAACCAATCTTCTTAACCATAGTGCAGATGGGGCCTGGCCTTTACCAATCTTCTTAACCTGGTCAGTCAAGCGGAACATGTAGGTCAGAACCAGCATCCGAAACATCGCATGTGACTAGCATCCTTAGATACATAAGCCATGCAAGTTTAGTTGATATATGATAATAAACAACCTAAAAACTGAGCTTAACCATTCTTACTTAGGTAATAGGATTGTGTTACCATTTCTCAGTAGAATTCCTTCAAAGTTTGTAGTTATATTGCTTTGAAGTAAAGAAGTTGTTCTGCCTCAAAAAAAAATATGGATTGTCAGAATTTTAAGGATTTTAAATGGAAATTTATGTAAAAAGGAGTGAATTTTGAAAAGAAATGAAAGACACAATTTTTGGCAAAAAGATGAAAGACACATTTTTTGGCAAAATAATGTAAATAAAAATGAAACTGCCATAGATTAGTATTGCATTAATGTATATTAATTTAATAAATGCTGAAATTGTGTAAAATGAATTATCTATAAACGCTTAAAAATTGACATTTTATAATAAAACCATATACACATAGTAATTGCATTTAAGAGTTATCTTTTTGAAAAACTTCACAGTAGTGAAATAGGTAGCCGGGTTCCTGAAGTACAGAAAAATTGACACATGTGACTCATTGATAAAAAAACAACTGAATTAATGCCTGGATTGCTTTGAAATACTTTAATATTGAGAGAACACACTGTTCTGTCAATAATGAACATACAATATTCATCAGTTTAATATTAAACATTAGAATATGCGGAAATTGTGATACTGTCTCCCTAAATTGGATTTTCAACAAGGGATGTACCTCCTTTTTGCTGCCGCCAATTGAGCCCCCTTCGTATAATTCTTTAGCTGCTCTTGCCATGAACAACTCCACCGTCCTATTGAAGGTAACTTTGTCAATTGAGTAGAGAGTTACATCCAACCTCAACCTCTGCAGATATAAAATACCGGTACCTACGACATACGTTTGGTTTCAGTTTTCAAGGGACATGTAAGCCTTCATGGAATGTTTAGTCTCCAAATGATGTCATTTTGTTTCGTTTTGTTTTTTGTATTGTTTAACGGTCCATCGACAATGGACAAAAGTCATTAAGGGCCAACAATACTGTAAAAAGAGACATTTACGAAAAAAACCTCATCAAACTAAAACTTGTATAACATATTTTATTGTAAAGATCAATATCGTGTTAATAGTTAAATATTAATAGCACAGATATTGAATAATCTTTTTATAGACGGTACATCATAAATTCTGGCACGTATTTGTTTGAAATCAGCGCATTCAATCATAAAGTGTTTGACTGTAAATGGTTGATCACATGCATGACAATAAGGCTGGTCTTCATTACACAAGATGTTGCCATGTGTGATGCAGGTATGGCCTATGAGTAGTCTATCTGCGGTCTGCTCTACTTGTTGCACAAGAACCCACATTAGGTCTACTGCATACCACGAAAGTTTCGCTGCAGTTTATTTAACGCTTTCTGTCAGTATCAGCTATTCTACATTATAAACCCCTATTTTAACTCACCTGGCCCGAAAGGCCAAGTGAGTTTATGGCATAGGCGGCGACGTCCGGAGTCAACTTTTTACTTAAAACAACTTCTTCTCAGTAACCAAAAGGCCAAGGGTGATGATATTTGGCCAGAAGCATGCTGGGATGAAGGGCTACCACGTTTGTTCAAATTAATGACCTTGACTACATTCAAGGTCACAGGGGTCAAATGTTTAAAACATTTTAACAACTTCTTCTGGATAGCCAAGAGGCCTACAGTGCTTTAATTTGGCCAGTAACATGCTGGGATGAATAACCTTCACTTATATTCAAAGTCACAGGAGTCAAATATGTTAAAAACTTTAAACAACTTCTTCTGAATAACTGAGAGGCCTAGGGTGATGATGTTTGACCAGTAACATGCTGGGATGACGGGCTACCAAGTGTGTTCAAATAAATGACCTTGACTTATATTCAAGGTCACAGGGGTCAAATATGTTAAAATCTTTAAACAACTTCTTCTGAATAACCAAGAGGCCCAGGGAGATGATATTTGGCCAGTAACAAGCTGGGATGAATGGCTACCAAGTTTGTTCAAATAAATGGCATTGACTTATATTTAAGGTCACAGGGGTCAAATAAGTTTAAAACATTTAAACAACTTCTTCTGAATAACCAAAAGGCCTAGGGTGATGATATTTGGCCAGTAACATGCTGGGATGAATGGCTACCAAGTTTGTTCAAATAAATTACCTCGATTTATATTCAAGGTCACAGGGATCAAATATGTTTAAAACCTTTAAATGATTTGTTCTGTATAACCAAAAAGTTCAGGGTAATGATAGATTACAAGTGTGAGATTAATACCAGATGAGCGATTCAGGCCCTTTGGGCCTCTTGTTTCCATGTACTTTTTAAAAAGTTTCTTCTTGTTTTGATCTGTAAAATAAATATCACGAACCTGTTTCAGGTCACTTTATGTATCACAAGCGAAACAATAAAGTCGGTCTTCACCTTTAGGCCATCCTCTAGGTGTTAAACTCACTTATACTCTCTGCTCCTTTGGAATATGTTGTAGCAAAATGGATTTTTTTTTCGTCTTAGTTTTTTAAAACAGCAGGAAAATGTAAATCAATTGTATTTGCCAGTCAAATATGTGTACGAAGGTAACATGGTACATTACCATCTGTCACAAAGGAATTTATAGTATTGTGAAATTATGAAGTGTTCATATTTTGTTTTAATAAAGCAGGGAATAGTAAATGTATTGTATTTGTGTATGCCAGTGAAACATTCACACAAAAGGAAAAGAACGAAGGTTGCCTGTGTAAATAAGTCGACGTCGTTACTGTATCAATATATTGATTAATAACTATGAAATCATTTATAAGTGGGTAAAAAACAATACATGGAAAACAAATAATGGGCTCTAAAATAAAAAAATATACGGAATGTAAGTGATCTAAACATGATTCAATATAATGACGCTGATTATATTGTCACTCGTCTTGCCATTCCTTTTCATGTATGAGGTGAGATTACTTCATACACACAACACAGGACAGTACCTTGTCTTCCTCGTAAGGGGGGCATTTCAGTGAACCACACCTCGTTCGAACCTGGTAGAACAGTTTTCCGTTGTCATCACTGCTTCCACCACCAATCAAGGCCTGAGGAATTTCGTCTACACATACGTATTGTGATGCAGCAACGTGACTGTTATAACCCGATGCCAGATAACCATGGTACGCCTCATCCCATCCTGTGTAGCACGTGGTACGTGCGGGTATCATGATTGATGTTGATTGGTTAGAACTACGACAAACAGCACAGGGAACATCCTTGTTTTTGTAATTTTTATTAAAGAGAACTTCATCTTCATATTCAGCACCATACATATATCCTGGCGCGTATGATCGAATATCTTTTTTGGGTCCCCATGAAGGATCTGGGGGGAGACAAACGTAATCCACGGCCGCTCCTGCGTGGTTGTAGTATGATCCACCAGCATACCCTACATAAATGGTGAAAAAGCTATTTATTCGATTTATCAACGTGCATATTGTGCCCATACAGGTGTAATTTAACAATCGGTCGTCTCGTCGTACGCTAATGTCCCTGAAAAAACTATTTCCGAATTAAAATATATTTATTATAGACAGATAAACCTGACGAATGCAACTTAAATATGGTAATCAGGTGTTTATTGGTGTTGAAACAAGGCATTATTTATTGTTCAGCCATTTCTCAAATTAAAGATTAGCTGTTAATAAGACGTTAAACAAAATTAAACCAAACCAAACCTCAAATTACACCAACTGCAATTGTAATCGAAAATTCTACGTTAATCGCTGGTTGGTTGGTTGTACATGGTTTAACGTCATATCTACAGCCAAGGTAATTGTGTGTTGTGTATGCGTGCCGGAAACAGGGTATGTTGATGTATTTGCCATTTGAATCAGTTATTGCCATTACCCTAAATGCTGAACGTTAAGAAACTAACATTGTTAGGACTTTGGTATGATCCGGGCTGGGGACAGAACTCATTGCCTTCCTCATCCGGGCTAACTTTCAACATTAAAGCCAAAAGTGAGGTGTTGAATATTGAAATTGGTGCAGCAGTTTATTTTGGTCTGTTTTTTGTGTGTCCCCAAGTATACGGTACATAAACAAATCCCCAAATCTGCAGCGGTTCCCACATTAGTCGTCTCTTACAATAAATGCAGTGGGTAACAGGAGGTGTATTCTTTTCTCGATCACCAACTTGCATGGGTGGTATAAACAAGTATACACTTTTCAAAAACTATCTGAGTACAGATATCTCCTAAATATGTTAAAAAGAAGCCAACCCCGATTCTGCAGGGGGCCACATTAAACGCCTCTTACGATGATGCCACTTGATACAGCAGGCCTATTCTTTTCCCGGATTTGTTGGTTTGGTTTGGTTTAGTATTGTTTAACGTCCTTTCAACAGCTATGGTCATTTAAGGGCGCCCCCCCCCCCTGTGTGCGAGATGCATACGTGTAGTATATGCCGGTGTTTTGGGAGGCTATGATATGTTTGTGTGTGTCTCCTTGTGATAGCGCGGAACTGATGAGGACTTTATAGTGCTACCTGACTGAAACATACTGTCGAAGTCACCCAGCAGGACACCCCACACGGTCACATTATACTGACAACGGGAGAACCAGTCGACCCATTCCTTAATTGCTGAGCGTTAAGCAGGAGTAGAAACTAGCATTTTTACAGACTCTGGTATATCTCGGCCGGGGGACAGAACCCAAAGCCTTCCTCAGCTTCAGATTAACATTTTGGAAAACGGCCGTGGAGGAAATTACTAAACTCAATTAGGATTACACTAATTTAGAGATGCTACTGGTGATGTGCAGATTGTCAATGTATTGCAATCATCAAAACTATAGACGACATTGCCGACATCCATTTTTTATTCTAGACATTTTATTGGAATCGCAGTTTCAGATTTTGTTGTCATCGTGAAGAAGAGATGAATTAGGCATGAAGAGCATTTCCACAATATGTGATGAGGAAATCAGAGATTTTTGTTTGTTTGTTTGATTTTGTTTAACGTCCTATTAACAGCTAAGGTCATTTAAGGACGGCCTCCCCTGTGTGAAAGTTGCATGCGTGTAGTGTATACGTGTGTATTTTGGGAGGCTGCGATATGTTCGTGTTTATCTCCTTGTGATAGCGGGGAACTGATGCCGACTTTATAGTGCTACCTCACTGAAACATACTGCCGAAGACACCCAGCAGGACGCCTCACACGGTCACATTATACTGACAACGGGCGAACCAGTCGTCCCACTCCTAATTTGTTGAGCGTTAAGCAGGAGTAGAAACTACCATTGTTAAAGACTTTGGTATGTCTCGGCCAGGGGACAGAACCCAAAGCCTTCCTCACAGGGGCGAACGCTCAACAAATGGCCAAAAGTGAGGCATTGTCAAGGGAGACATTAGGAAGAAGAAAGTTATTTAGAAAGGAGAGAAGAGATAAGGTCCCAAATTTAGTCGCCTCTTACGATCATGCAATTGGGGGCAGCAGGTACAATTCTTACGCCCTACCTGCAGGGACGGAAATCAGAGAACTCAGAAACAGTGATAATGATTTTGTAAATATGATGGAGAAGATTGAAGAGTTGTATATATTAAATTTCTTGAACTTTAATAAGTAAACCGAAGCGTTTTTCAAGTTTCCTGTCAATTTACGAACATTAAAGTAAAACGTCTAATGCTACTGTAGGTATTTTCAATATTTACGAAGTATCGGTGTTAATCAATCTAGGCCTTGTATTTGTAGAGTATAAAGAGTATACCTGAGTAGACTGTTTCAGTCCCATTTCCAGGGCAGTCTTTCCGTCCCCATCGAACGTACACCACTCCTGTGTAAAAAAATACAGCTTTATTAAAATTCCAACAATGAACATAGTTTTTCCTTACTTGTTTCCTACATTAGGGTAATGATATTATCCTATTTGAGCTATTCGTAGTGGGATTTCTAAAAACAAAAAACAAAAGTAGGTTATGTTGATGGATACAATATCGTTACCTTGGTTAGTTTTTGCCTTCTCCAGTTCACTATATATACTTGTCAGTTTGTCCTGGAAAAAAGAAATTGTCATTATCGAATGGCGACACGATATATTCTAGAAGGTCAACTTACTGAAATGGGAACTCGTTCGAGATATTTTGGCTCTTTACATATAGGCAAAGTTTAATCAATATACAAAATTACATGTTGGTGCCCAAGTACATTATATAGTGACCATCAATGCAAACTTTCAATGAAATCCACCTGTTAATTAATGAGGAGTTGTGCGGACAACTTTTTAAGCACAAAGAGGCATAACTATATCACGAAGTGTTGAAATCAAATATTAAAATGCCGGTGCACAACTACCTATCATTCAACCAAAGTTTCAATAAAATCTGCCTGTTAGTTCAGATGGAGTTGTCCGGACAGGTTATTTCGTATAAAGGACGGTAACTCCCTTACAAGGTGTTGAAATCTAAAATTAAAATGCCGGTGCACAACTGAATAACATTCTGATAATTCGAGTGAAGTTTCAATAAAATCTGCCTGTTAGTTAAAATGGAGTTTTCCGGACAAGTTACTGCGGACGACAGAGAGGGTGATTCCAGTATAACCCCCTAACTTCGTTGCGGGGGTATAACAACTTGGTTGAGGAATTGGTATATCCCAGCTAAGGAACAGAATCATAGCCTTCTTATTTTTGGCCCACGTTTAACACAAAATTTAATACACGACCAAATGAAGAATTGCAAGGTGTTACGTCTATGAAGAGTCAACAACTACAACTGTTTTTAGAAGTAGTGACAAAATCTCTGCAACTTAAAGTTCAGAGTGGCTATGCTAGATTTCGGAAATCTTAAGTAAGATAACTTCTTTCTAAGATACTGGTCAGATATACAAAATAATTTTAAGTGCTCATTAGCTAAATAAAATGTTTACAAAGTGGCCCTGGAGGTAAGTCGGTGTATATTTTTGTTATACCATCAAATAAAAATCACATGATAAATCCACCAAAGTTTGAATTATAACCCGTTGGAAATAAACAAAATATACCCATAAATGTGAATTCCAAATATAAAATATAGTTAACTTGACCTGGGTTTAACAAAATGTCGATTTTGATCAAGCACCTTAGGACCTCATCATTAACAGAGAAGATTAGGTTCCAGGCAATCTTGGTCAGGAGAACAAGATTGTTGAAAGATTTGCCAATTTGACCCCTTTTGATCCTGCCTCTCAAGGCTGTAGGTTTGATTCAGTGTAATAATTTCTTTAAATCGAAATGCAATCACATGATGATAATTCTAACCAAATTTGAATTATATACCACTGATAATAACAAACTATACCCAAAAGTGTTACTTCTCTATACAAGCTTAAGTAAAATGTAAACCTCCCAAATCCGTGCTTGTTCGGGGAAAGATCTATAAGGCGACAAAGGTGGCCACCTCTCCAAACAAACAAACAAAACACAAAATACCTCATCAGGATAGGGGGATAAATGACCCTGGGTAATGAAATGGACAATTTTGATAAACCACCGTAAGACCTGTACACCCCCATGAAGAGTATTTGATTTCAGAACTCTTGGTTTACAGAAGGCTGTAGAATGTTTTGCCAACTTGACCTCTTTTAGCCGTTGGTGAGTTAAATGAAAAAAAATCACAATTTTAGTTTGCCTTTGACTAAGAAACAAAGGTATCGAGTTTAAACAAATCATACCTGATGTTCCTTTATTTCATCCTTTTGTTTCTTATTCTCGTCCTGTTGTTTCTCAATCTCATCCTGCTGCATTTGAAGCTTGGTCTGCAACTCCCCATTGGTTGTTTGCTTGTTTGCAACTAAATCAAGCAAAATGTCAATAGAAATATTTTATCTTTTGACTCAGTATTGCCTTGTCTACGTACGCTTTGCTGTTCCACGGTTTGGTTTTCAGTTTAAATTTGTACTTACAGACTGACTAATGAAACCAGTTTAACCAATCCATTTAATATAATTCTGAATAATGCATACAGATGGAGATCATGACTTCTTTCAAGAATGAAAAGATTATGAAGGTAGGGTTTCCAAAATGGCCCTTCCAATATGGTGAATTGTAGATCTAAACCTTATCACAACAAAAACACCCATTACAATTCAAATGAGTACTTGGTTGGTTTTTCCTAGAAGAGTAAAACTGAAATTCTCAAAAAGCGGAGATTCCCCCAACAGACGAATACTGACAAACTGACAATGCACTGTAGGATCCTTCACGATGCAAGCAAAACTAGGGATCATATATTACAGTAAACATATATAAGAGATTTCAGAAGGATCTTGGCGCCCACCATTGTACCATCTTCATTAGTTCTATGTTAGTTTGATCTTTTCTCTTCTTTTCTCTTATCTGTTTGATCAGTTTGCCTATCTGCCATTTTCATCCATCTTTTGATCAACCTCAAAAGTGAACATGCACAACGGGACAGCTGAGTGAAGGGGGACCTACATATCAAATTTGAAAAACATTTTTCCATCTAATTCTGAGAAAAAGCGATAACAAACTTATCTGTAACAAGATGGCCGGCTGATTTGATTTGATATGCATAACTAAGAACAAGAGGATTTGTTTAGTATCGTTTAACATCCTATCAACAGCTATGTTCATTTAAGGACGGCCTCCCCTGGGTGCATAACTAAGAACAAGAGGAATCCATATGTGTAATTTGGGAAAGATCCCTCCACGACATTTTGAGCAATAGGGCTAAAAACCTTTTACTCCAATACTCAATACGACCACCTGCCAGTCATCATGGTTTTCCAATCATCCCCAAACCTCGAAATGCGGAACTAGGATCGATGGGGAACCTTCATGTGAAATTTAAGAAACACCCCTCCTGAACATTCTGAGAAATAACGCTAACAAACCTTCATTCTTAAATTCGAGATCTGTTATCCCTTCTGTCCCAAAATTTGATATGCGTAACCAGTGGTGATGGTGAACTTTCGTGTCAAATATTAGAAAGACCCCTTTAAGACTGTCTGAAATACAGCGCAAAAAAAACTCTCAAATTCAAGATAGCTGCCGGACATTTTGGTTTTGTGATCAGTCCCAAAAATTGCTATGCATAGGGATCATAAGGAACCTTTATGCAAGATTTGAGAACATATCGACCATTTTTGTTTATCAATCAGTCCCAAAAATTGATATGCATACCTAGAGATATGTTGGGACTTTCGTTTGAAATTTGAGAAAGATACCTCCATTACTTTTTGTGAAATAGCGCTAAAAAGAGTTGTTAAATGACCGACGAACGCATGGTGATTTTAAACAGCCCATCATTTGATGATGGTGGGCTAAAAAAATCCCTTGCTTTGGTTAATTATCAGATACGTAAAGACAAATCAACAGCCAGAAGCAATCTCCAGCAATGATATTTCCCAGACAAAAAAATGTGTTCATTTTAGAATAAAAATATTTTATACCTTTTGTATACCAAAGATATTTTGATTATAGATAGACTAGGTCCTGAACTACCAGGGACAAAAATATCAATCCTAAATATGTGGTAGAACATATTCAAAGAAGGGATCAAATGACTATGTGGTCTATACATCAAAATTCATGACTATATGTATAGTCAATTCATTATGATTGACAACTGACAGAAAAGAAAAAAAAATGTTCCTGTTTGGATGGAACGAGTATTTAATCAACAGAGAAGATGTTTGGAAAAGATTCGATGTTTGATTCCTTTTCAAGATGGCCACTAGAACATTCATTTTACTGCCCAATCAGTTTTCAGATTCATTGACACTATCAATCGAACTCAGAGATTGTGTGTTTGATTGTTCCTTTGTTTATATATATATAAATATATTAAAGTTTGACGCCGTATTAACAGCTGATGACATTTACAGATAATGTTTTGCAAGATGCAAGAGTTTTAATCAGAGTTGGAAAAAAGATGTAAGAAAAAAAATATTTAAGGTTTGAGTTTGTTTTCAAACGGATGATTCTAGATTCACAAAAAAAAACAAATTAACCTTTGTCCGGACTTTTTAGCCCTTGGGTGCAACTGTTTAGGACTTTGAAGATAGCTATTATACCCAAGATAATATAGTATGCTTTATGTAGGAGAAAACATTCCCTTAGTTCTTTGACCAACTTGGCAGTAGTAATCTTTTATTTGAATATTATCATTTGGTGCCGTGTACTGAATCCAAACATAATATTTAGTGTGGCGTTTGTGTCGGGAACAAAGCTGACAACGGATGAAGTCTTGAGAGTGCTGATACACCTTCATTTCATTATCTTACGAATTCTGACTTTGCTCTCTTGGAGAGAGCTAGTTGTTTTCACCCTCTGAGCCAAACAGTTTGTTTTTGTAAGTAGAAACTTCATTTGATGTGCAAGTTCTCTGTCTTTTACTGACAGTTTCCGGTGATCTTTAATAAAATGTTCCCCGTATCCAATTGAGACATGCTGTTACAATCTTAAACACTTCCTCAATGAAACCAATGAAGCAATTTTATATTAATTGAGTTCTAAAAATTGTCCAATGCTTAAGACAGCCATGATACAATGCATCGGAATTTGGTAATTGTTCTATCAATGTTAGTCTGAAGAGTGTTTGCTCTGACCAGTCGTAAGATACGAGGGCATACTGGTATTAATACCAGATGCCTCTAACATTGGCATGACATCTCTGAAGCCACCATCAACGACAACATTGTCGTCTTGTTCCAACCATGCGAGCTTTTTCATGATTTTTGTAATTCTTGCATCATCTTTTTTAATATAAATATATGTACCATCTATTAAGGCAGTCTCTTCGTCTTCAAAAAATATTCATGAGAATATATTATTGTGTGAAAGTATATGCTCCCTACTCAAATGGTAAGGACAAAGGAACACTGGAGCTATAGATTTATTCAATGCTTGTACTATAGAATGAAAGGTGTTTGCAATACCAGGCAAGGAAATGCCAAAAAGAGCGTAACACTTTATAAGAAGAGATATCAGTGTTCATCATAACCCAATACAGTAATAGAACATTTTGTGTAGTTTTGATCTATACTGAAGAAGAAAAAAAGTGACAAAGTATGAATGGATTTGAGAAACGATTCTTTTTCCAACCTGTCCAAGCTTTGCAGTCAATGTCAACCAAGAGACAAAAAAAATGAAGAGTTAAAGCTGATTGATTCTTTGATAAGATGTACGACACTTCTAAAAGGTCATCAATTATTTTAGATGACCTACTTCATAATTGAGAATTCAAAGATATTTTCCTTATAGTATAACCGATGTATAAGGGTTCAGATCATTGCCATTAAAAAAAAATGAGAATACACGTGATGACGTAGAACACCACAATTTGTATGTGAATATTTTATTTGGATTTGCTTCCCTTCGATTTAAAATTGTTAAAACAAAGACAATATCTTCTTATGTGAACAGGTCCTTGATTGTGAAGAGAGAAAAACCTTCTACTATTCTAATCTTCAAAACGTTCCATTTCAGATTTTCCTTTTCGCAAATACAAACTTCATAATTGGAGCAATCTGTGCCACTTTTAGTCAGTATAGCCCAAAGTCATGTATTATTATGTTTTTTTTTTTACATTTGGTGTACCTTTACATTTACGAGATTTCGCGAAGAGAGACCAGGATATTTATTAAATTGATTGTTAACAAAAGCTTTATCAATCACGCCAAGTTATGAAGCTTGAATTTGGAATTTAGTGTGACCTTACATGGTTCATTACCAATTACCTGTAAGCAGGTGCATTGCTTTTTGCCAGGGAGGTGTCTTATGTTGTACAAATGAACTTACCACCACTTGCTTTGGACTGAATTTTGCATACATATTTGAAATACCACCACTTCTTCATACTATGAAAATGTTTGGTATACAAGAATAATAAGAATGCCCAATCTTATATATTACATTTAAATTTTCACAAAATGTTCGATTAAACTCACATTCTGGATGATAAATAAATTAGTTAAGCACTACACGGAACAAAATGTTCTTTCCTAAGTATTACGATGCATAAAACACGATTTGTTTTAGATAAAAACTTTCAGGCTGATATTCAATGTTTCCACCCCCATGCTGTAATTTGGTTAATTAATAATCTAAATAATTCGTAGAGTGATTCAAACTAATATCTTCTGATGTATAAAGGATTGAAAAGAGTTAAAACAGCAGCATAAGTATCGTAGCACTTCTGGAACAAAAGTTATGAGGGGCAGGCTCCTATGTAATTTTAACATAGCTGGAAATTGCCCCTTTATATTGAAAAAAGAAATTCGCTTGAACAACAGGAATGATCGGATTTTTTAAACTGTTTAGTATGCGTGCATGTGTGTGTGTGTGCCGGAGAAAGGGTATGTTGTTGTATTTGCGGCGTCCGTGTGATAGTTCGGATTTGATGCCAAATCCACGTGCTATCGCACTGAAATACCATGGCAAAGGCACCCAGCATAGCGTTCTACCCAGTCACATTCTACTGGCAATGGGTGAACAGCTACCATTTTAAGGACTTTGGTATATCCCGGCCTGGGGACAGAGCCCATTGCCTTCCTCACCTGAGCGAACGTTCAACATTAAAGCCGCAAGTTAAGCTGTTACCAAACAAGGCGCTAGGAAATGAAAGGTAGTTTGAAGTAGAAAGGATTATAAAGAGAGAGGTCACAAAAACAAATCCCCAATTCTCCAGGGTTTCCCTCATTAATCGCCTCTTAAAAGGCATGCGGTTGGTAACAGTAGGTGCATTCTTTTCCCGATGAAGTTGTATACCAAAAGCATACGTTTCTGCTACTGGATCAGGAGAAACTTATACTAAATAGAGATAAGTTTTAAAACGATTGGATAGCATCCAATTACTAACTACTTGTATTTTCGTACGTTGTATTCATTACTAGTTTAGATTGGTTTACATTTTCTACAAATAACACAGGAATGCTCTCCATATTGTCATTAAAATAAAATCAACAATGTATTCGTTGATTAGTTGTTATGCTTACCAATGATATAGACAGTAACTGCTCCTTGAATTAAAACCAGTACGGCAATAAAAACCAAGGCGATATCCCTTCGATTCATTTTGCATCGAACCACGTTATCTTGATCGAAATTTGAGGACGCCATTTTCTTCTCCTTAAAAGAAAAAAGGACAGATGGGGTTACTTTTCTAAATCAAAGAATATATAAGACCTAATATCAATATGCACATTGCAAGAAAGAATTTTCATATATTTATTTCTAACATATCTGACATATACAATGTCATGTTCACCCTTAAATGTACTTCATACGCCAATTTGACTGCACTCATGTATAATTGTTATCACGTTATATTTACAGTTTCAAGTGTAATTGACTCAATAACCTTTCTTGAGGTCATTGTCATTATCATTCGATAACGACAGTCGTTCTCGTGCGCGTATTAATACATACACCGTGTACATATATGGCATCAGTTCCGCGCTATCACAAGGAGACAAACACGAACATATCGCAGCCACCCAAACCACACACACATACACTACACGCATGCATTTTGCAGGCAGACCGTCCTTAAATGACCATAACTGTTGAAAGGACGTTAAACAATACTAAACCAAACCAAAGTACGTCAACAATCCGGAGGTTTCCATCGCCATTTGCGAAAGTAAACAAAAGTACTGGGGATACCAGATTTGTGTATTTGTATAGTTATCACCCTATAGCCTAAACTAAATAGAAAGTAAATCCTTAACTATTTTTATAGACCTAAAACAAAGTTATCAATTTAAAGCTGAAAGCACAGTATAGAAAGCATCTGTGCGATCCCATCTTTCTCCATTTTGTAAGTTTTAACATTTTTGATTGTGCTTTTTACACTTCCCCGGTATAGAAAATTTGCAATCTGAAAACCCTTTTATTTGTATAATATAGATGTTAAGCGACATATTTATTCATTTTCGCGGTTGTTTTATTATATACAGACTTAAAGAAAATGGACGAATAAAATAACGACGGCTGGAGGATTATAAAGCGACTTCCGACCGTCTGCTCCATCCATTCCAGCATCAACCTTGCCAGAAAGACGTAGACAACAATGTTACAGATGAGCACCTGGTATTTTGCGTAGATGACATGTGGACCAAGGCGACTGTCGCGACCGTTTGCCGATTGCAACAACTCGCGCATCGCCAGTTTCTCTATCACGAACTTTCTTCACATGCCCCAAGCCTTTCTGTCAGATCTACATCATTCACGGATTAGTTGAGAGTTTGGTTTGATTTCACAGGGTTTAACTTCCTATTAACAGCTAAGTTAATTTAAGGACGTGCCTCCATGTATTTAATGTAGGCGTGCTTATGTTATGTGTACTGGAGGTAGGATGTTGATACATTTGCCTCTTGGCGCTAGCGCAGATCTGATGCCAACTTTAGAGTGTTACATCAATGAACAATTCGGACCGCTGGAAACTTACCTATGATATATGTCCAATATTTCTTCAGAAATACCGATAACAAACGTGAACTCTCAAAATCAAAGATGGTTACCTGGTGACCATCTTGTTTTCCCTATCATTCTCAAAATGATAGGCAAAACTAAAGACCAGAGGAGAATTTCATAAACTCTATATGTATAAAATTCGTTCTGTTTTTTTTTTTAGCAATAGCGATAACAAGAATTGCTTAAGGACCGATGGAGCACAGCCGAAGGGTGATTTGATCAGCAATTCCTCTGATGATTGTTGGCTTAAAATCTTGTTGGGTAGTAGCAAGACAATATTAAAACGCAGAAAATGGTGTTATGTGTGCAGGATTTGTATTATGATCACTAAACCTAACTCAAAAATCTGTTGGTCTGTTCAAAAACATATAACAAACCATAACTACTTTTACTTTTGTTGTTGACGTTTGTCTTTTACCTTTTTGTTCGTTTGCTGTCATTTCCTTTAACATGTTTTATCCACTTTTACTTGCCTTAATGACCATTTTGTAAAAAATCCAATAGAGAGAAAATATATAGCAGAAGTGCAGAAGATAAATTATGATCACTTAACCAAATTAAAAAATTGTTTGTCTGTTTAAAAAATGTTAGCTCACCTGCCCGATGGTTTTGTTTGTTTTTTTATTGTTTAACGGCCCATCGACAATGCGAGAGCCAACAATACTGTAAAATGAGACATTCACGAAAATTAACACATAAAACAAAAACGTAATAGGTTAAAATATGTAAAGGATTTAAGAAATAATATAGAACAAATCGGCTGCAAATTGGCTTGTGAGCTTATGCCATTGCACGGCGTCTGTCGTCTGTCATCCTGTGTCTGGTGTCCAGCATCCGTCAACTTTTCCTTTGACCGACCTCTTCCGAAGAATGGATAAGCCTAGAGTCATGATATTTGGGTGTTAGCTTTGTTGGTTAGAGCCGAACAAAGTTTGAGAACGAAAGTGACCTTGACTTACTTTTATGTAAAAGGGGTCAAAAGTGTAAAATACATGTACTTAAAATGTCTTCTTCTGAAGAACTGAACGGTATATAATCTTAATATGTGGCTGGTAGAAGTAAAAGCCCAACAAAGTTTGAGAACAAAAATGAAATAGACTTACTTTCAAGGTCACGGGGTCAATAAAAGTCGATAAAACGTGAGAATAATTCGGACTAAATTGTCATATTTAAAACGACTTCTTCTTAAGAACTGAAAGGTAAAGAATCTTAATATGTAGATGGTATCTTGGTTAGTAAGAGCCCAAAAGTTTGAGAACGAAAATCACCTTGACCTTCTCTCAAGGTCACATGAGTCAAATATATCAAACTTATCAAACGACTTCTTCAGAAAAACGAAATACATGGAATCATAAAATTTGGTTGCCAGCTTCTTGGGATAGAGCTCACAAAGTTTGCGAATTAAAATGACCTTCACTTACTTCCCAGGTCACAGGGGTCATATATGTCAATCACTATTCTTAGGAACTGAAAGGTATAGATTCTTAATAATTTGCTGGTTACTTCTTTGGATTGAGCACGACAAACTTAGCGAATGAAAATAACCTTGACCTATGCTAAAGATCAAAGGGGTCAAATATGGCAAAAACGTCAAATAACCTCATAATATTTGGCTGCTGGTGGCTCCTGGGATAGAGCCTGACATTGTTTCAGAATGAAAAATACCTTGACCTACTTTCAAGGTCACAGGGGTCAATATTTTAAACTATTCCAACGACTTCTTCGGAATAATTGAAAGGTAAAGAATCGTTATATTTTGCTGGCTGCTTTTTCGGACGGAGCCTGACAAACTTTGCAAATGAAAATTACCTTGACCTACTTTCAAGGTCACAAAGATCGAATGTGTCAAACATTTCAAACAAGTTTGCGAATGAAAATTTTGTTACTGTTTTGTATCGTTTAATGGCCCGTCGACAATGTGAGATATTTAGGGCCAACACTACTGAAAAAAAGAGACATTTACAAAAATAAACACATCAAACCAAAACTTTATAGCTTAAAATATGTTCAAGATTAAAGAGTTTCATCAATATCGAACAAATTGTCTGCACAATATATCATATTTTATTGTAAACTTCAATGGAGTGAAAATAGTCATATACTTATTGCACAGAAACTGTATCGAAGAATCTTTTCATAGACGGTACATCATAAAATCTGTCACATATTTGTTTGAAATCAGCGCATTCAATCGTAAAGTGTTTGACTGTGAATGGTTGATCGCATGCAATAAGGCAGGTCTTCATTTTGCAAAATGTTAACATGTGTGATGTAGGTATGGCATATACGCAGTCGCGAGAGGGAAATTTCCTTTCTGCTGTCTGCTCTACTTGTTGCACATGAACCCACATAAGGTTGAATTGCAAATAACTTGCTGTTTAATTCTTCTGATTTTATTTGCCAATTTGTTTTAATAAAATTTGATATTGAAGGTTTAAAATCAGAAAAGGGCAACTTAATATCTTTTTGTTATATGTTAAGGGCTTCTTTTCCATTTTATTCCGACATGACCTGGTATCCAAATCAAGATCAGGTGGCAAAACAATAAAATTATGTCAATACAAAGGCGATGTTTTGTATGAGAATGTTGTTCAAATTTTGACTGTTGATACTTTGTATTAGTGACAAAGAGTCCGAAGGTAGAGGAAGATGAACAATCAGAAACATGAACTGATGAATAGTGAGTACAGTGTATTATACTAATCACAGATGAACATTACTTTTTATGGAAAAAAACAAAAATCCAAAAAAAAACTTTAGTGAATTTTATTACTATTACTAATGCAATTTTCTCATGCATCTTAAACTTATATCTATCAATGTCAATGGTTTGAATGATTATGTGAAAAGAAGGAATATTTTTCACTGGTTAAAATGCCAAAAAGTAGATATTGCATTATTGCAAGAAACACACTGTGGTGACAGTAATATACAAAAAAAGTGGGACAATGAATGGAATGGAAATGCATACTGGGCAAATGGGAACTCATCTTCAAGGGGAGTAGCTATTCTTATAAGGAAAGGGCTAAACTTGAAGGTCTCACAAATTATTTTTGACACTGATGGAAGATTTATTATTTTAAAACTAGAAATAGAAACAGGTACCTTTTGGTTAACTAATGTATATACACCAAATGAGGAAAATGATAAAATTTTATTTTTCAAGAACATGAGGCAAAAACTCAAAGATATAAGTGGTAATGACCAGAAACATATTCTAGTTGGAGACCTTAATTGTGTTCAAAATATAGAAATGGATAGGAAAAATTGTACATCACATGTTGAAATAGGGCAAAATGAACTAAAACTACTAATAACAAATCTGGCTGTTGAAGACATTTGGCGCCGTAGAAACCCAGGATTAAAATCATATACCTTCAAAAGAGGGAGGAAACAATCAAGAATAGATTATTTTCTAACAAGCAAATCAATTGATCACATGATAATAAATTCCAGTATAGAGTTATGTCCCTTTACAGAAAATGACCACTATGGCTCACCTGTTGTGATTCTCAATTTAGATGAAATTGAAAGAGGAAAGGGATACTGGAAGATGAATTTTGATATAATAAAATCAGATTGTTTCAAAGAAATGTTTAAAGTTTTTTGGAACAATTGGAAAAAAAATATAGAGGACTATGAAAGTAAAATGA